CCCCAAAACCCCAAAACCCCAAAACCCCTGCAAACAATATTAACAATAAAAAGCTTTAAATTGAAATTATTATTAAGTTAAGTAAAATAAGAATTTCTTTATTGAAATTACCTTTCAATAAAAAATGGTGAAATAAATAGCAGATAAAATCGTAAAAGTCTTAAGAGCATAGCTCAAAATTCTTCCATAGCTACAAACCTTTACGTTATTTGAGCATTCCTGCGATACTGTTTTCTTTGGTCCTGGTCCCCAACATCCCACAGTGTAAGGATGGAACATTGTAGTAACATAATAATAAATGCCTGCTATTTCTAACCCGTTACATAAATCAACATCACATGGCTACCATAGCATTCCATCTTTTCTATATGGTCCAAGTATAGAATGTCCATCTCTTGCTACTCCAATTACCATAATAGTCTTTTCTTAATTCTTCATAAAGGATAGAGAGTATGCTAATGCATCATCTTTACATGCTGGAATTAAATTGCATGAGTCAGAATCTGAATTCCTAGATGGTCCAGATGGGAGTATACAAGGAGACCATGCATAGTAATGGTAATATCCAGAATATTCTGAACCTCCAAGGCATTTATCAACTGAGATCTTTTTGCCGCTGTAAACTTTCTTTCCAAACTACTTAGGATAGAACACATCTGATCCATATTCTGAATTTCCAGTGTGAATAGGTACTCCATTTAGAGCGATACCGACAATACTTTCGAAATTGCCAGAGTATTCATTATATTCAGGGTCTATTTGTTTTAAAAATCCAGCTTATGTCCATGATCCATCGCATAGCGCATTATTCACACTATTTTGATCATCTCCATCATATAAGGATGTATTGACTGGCTCGTCTTAACTTGCTAGATTTCTGTTCATCTTTTAACTGTTTCTGGGTTTATTCTTAAAGCTTACTTCGAAATCAATTATGTTTTCTTTTGGTACACTAGCACCTGGCTCGGGACAATGATTTGGCAATCCATTTGTTTGCATTCTTATTTTTGCTCCTGAAGAAGATTCTAAAAGTCTACCACTTGAAGTAGTAGTATCTGTATTACAGACAGTGGCCATTTTTCTCTTCCAGACGCATGGTGGACTTGATCCATCTGGGCATGATGTCATACCTTTACATGAAATTGGTTCTCCTTGTGAATCATCAGTCACATCAAATGCACTCACTACTTCCTTGCATTATTTTACTGCTGCAGGTTCGGTTGTTGTAGTAGTTGTTGTAGTAGTTGTCGTCGTTGTTGTTGTGCTTATTGTAGTCTCTGTAGTTGAAATCGGTGCATCAGTAGAAGTCTATAATAATTATTATTAATAAACATATAAAGATAGAGAAGTAATTACGGGAGCAGGTGAAGTGGTCACAGTAGTACTATCAACAGTTGTCTGAGCAGTGGTTGATTCTTCAGTGGTTGGTGCTGAAGTGGTCACAGTAGTACTATCAACAGTTGTCTGAGCAGTGGTTGATTCTTCAGTGGTTG